CAACGCCCATACGTGGCCTCACACAATAATTTTTTTGATTCGTTGTTTTAACCTAATGATTGACCATCGAGAAACCCAATATAAGTTAAGATACACACAGAAGAATCTTCAAAAAATTAACAAGGATACTAATGGTATTATCACCTTGAAAGCCACATAATTTTCGGTCTTGTTAGTCAGATACTGAGTGCAAGAACTCTGTTTCCTCAATTCAACTATACATACAAAATCAACGATCAAAAGGCACATCTAGAAGAAGGAAGACATGCTAAAATCATTTAATATATATATATATATGTACAAGCTTACAATTGAAATGAAGATCGAGAGGTACGATGTCGAGAAGCTTGTTACTCATTCTGATAAGTTCGCTGGTGTATTAACCGGTTCAATCAATAACCGAAAGCTCGTGCAAGCAAAGATTTAAGGAAAGAGAGACAAGAGAGAAGATAGTTACGCTGCCTTTTTTGAAGAATAAAGACGATGTATGCTAATTCTTCACTCTCAATTTCTCATTCAAAAATCTCTGTTTGATCTCTATTTATATGAAAAACAATTTATTTTTCTATGTGGATTTAATAATACAAACTTTAGTTAAGTATCCTATTCTTATTTATGTATAATTTATTAAACACTTTTTTAACAAGTTAGATTACTACACAAGTTTTGAATTATTCAACTTTTTTTTAAAATGTTTGACCAACAACCGAGGTGCGAAACAATCATCTCTTGTAATCTATTTTTAATAACCTAACGTGATTGACCAAAAAACAAAAACTAACTAGCAAGACTCTTTTTAATTACCTAATTTATATATCTAAATAGCAACTCTATTTTTTTTAACTAAGAAGCGCACATCAAATTCTAATACGTAAATTACATACGAACGAACAAATCTCTATTTAATTGTTTTCTAGTTCATTCTATGTTTTTCCTATGTTGTTATTGTTTGTGGAAACTGTACAACTATGATCGGAGTTTGTAATCAGTCTTTAATAATTTTAAAAGTATAGAATGACCTTTTCGGTATGGTCTAATGACAAAGTAAAAAGGGTGCTCAAACCCACTTGAAAGCTTGTAGAGAAAGTTATAAAAGATAATTACATAAATATTATAACGATAAAGATGTTAAGCATATTATCGATTCAGAGTTCTCAGGGAGACCTTAGCTCGGAACACACCTTTTTTATATAAGACTATATATTTAAGATGACGATCTTTCGTGCCAAGTCTTAAATCTGTATTGCCACTTTCCCTTCTTTCACTGTCTTTCTTCTTAAGCCTCTTGCGGAAATATACCATCTGATATTTATCAGGATTCCACAACCACTCTGACTTTCATTGTCTCTATGCTTCAACTGGTCCTACAATCATATACATGTTTTGATAATCAGAGAGGTTCGAGTTTGGAAACAAAGCTTGTCGGACATATATAGAGTTGGCAGGGAATAGTAGTTCTTTACCAATTCTTGTTGAAGTTTTTTGTTCAGCTGAACCGCCGAGTTCTTTTCCTCAGTGAGCCTTTTGATACGTGCTCTCGCCTGAAGTCACAAAAGTCAAATATGCATCAACTACTATAATGGTAAGTTTTGCCAATTAGTACTAGCTAGTAGGTTTGTTGCAAATGCATAAAGTAATTAGTGGAAAGCTAAAAATAAAACCACGGCAGAAGAAACCATATTCCTCTAAACATAGTCCATACTGAAGCATTGACCTATAAAACCCAAAATTTGTAAAGAAAACTATATCCATATAGATCCTAAAATTTGTTAAAAAAAAACTTTTTTTATTGAAAGGTTATAGTTTCCAAAATTCTAAGGCATTTACCAACCTCTACACACCTAAAACATTGGTCAAAGCTTCAAACAAGGTTAAAAATTTTAACGTTGATAAACAGAAAGGTCTAATAAGCATAAGATGTAAAGTGTAATAAGCGATCCCGCTAAGTTGCCAGTTGGTAATAATTGGAATGATCTGGATTAAAAAAAAAAAAAAAAACAGCTCCAAAAATATCTGACAAGCCTGAGGTGTATACTTACAGCTCTGTCGTTAGAGACGGGTGGTGGTGGATGACCAACAAAGATAACTCTCAGTTTAGTCTCCTCAAGTTGATTCCCTGCCTCTTTCTTAAACTGCGTAGCGTTCATAAGATAAAAGAAAACACAGTGTTAATTAATTTAATGAAAACAAAACATCAAATACCATCTCAGCAGTAACTTCTGTGTCAGGACTAGCCACAAAACACTGAATCAAGAACTTGTCCTTGCACTGCATATCAGCAGGAGCTTCCTTTTGAGCTTGCATGGTCACTAGTAGTTTCCGAAAGATAACAAAATATCAAACTCATAATCCAAAATTCTCAAGGGAAGAGTGAGATACAAACCTACAACTTCGATACAGGATCTCGGAGGAAGAACGCCAGTATTAGGCCTCACAGTATATTTATTTGGTTTCGTTGTTTTAACCTAAATGATTGACCATGGAGAATTAAACCCTAAGATACACACAGAAGAATCTTCAAAAAATTAACAAGGATTCTAATGGTATTAATTGTCACCTTGAAGGCCACATAATTATCGGTATTGTTCGTCAGATGCTGAGTGCAAGAAATCTGTTTCTTCCGTTCAACTACATACAAAATCAACGATCATATATAAGGCACATCTACAAGAAGGAAGACATGCCTAAAATCATTTAGTATATATATATATATGCTTACAATTGAAATGAAGATCGAGAGGTTCGATGTCGAGAAGCTTCTTACTCATTCTGACGAGATCGCTAGTGTATTAACCGGTTCAAACAATAATCGGAAGCTGGTCGAGCAAAGTTTCAAGGAGAGAAGGAGAAAGAAAGAACGAAGAGAGTTTCACAAGCCTATTTTGAAGACTAAAAACAAGGGAAATTTGCCTCTATAACCATAAAAAAAAACACAAATCAACTATATAATCAAAATCACACACTCTCTCCTCTTCTTTCTTCCTATCTCTCTCTACTCTCTTTCTAAAAAACTAATTTTACTTTTTTTTATTATATCACAAATAAGCCCTAAAAACAATCGATGCCAATTCTTTTGATCAGGGCGGGCCGTGGGCTAAAGCCCAATAAATTCATCATTTAGCCCAAATTACAGTAGTCATACCTCTTTGGTCAGGTGGTCTGATTCTTGAGTTGTACTTGTTTTTTATTCTTTTTTTTCTTACTATAAATGAAAGAATCTGATTCATTTATTGATAAGTTAGTTTCCGCTAACGGTGATCGCAATGCTATCCTCCTCTTCTCTTGTCGTACTTCTTCAAAATTTTGGCTAATCCTGTAGAATATAATGTAGATAGAATTGACTTACCGTTTTTCAAAAAAGTAGTCTATTTTGATAAAAGTTTTAACAATCTGGAACAAGACATTGGTATTTTGCTTTTGTTCCCGGATGATTTGCCGGAAAACTAAAATTCCTATATGATTAACGTATTGATCAAGGGGCATCTATCGATCCCGATTGTTTATATAGAATTGTTATCGTGACTCACCTAGTCACCTTAGATTGGGTCTTGGGTATAGACATTCAAAAGAATTTGTAATATGATCTTCTCTTTGTTACCAGATGTCAAATATTCGATATAACAAATTGTTATGATGCTATCTCACTTTACTTGTGGTTACCTCTTTGCATTGCATGCGATCTTCGTTTCTTTCTGTTAGCTCTATACATTTGACACCTTTCACTATGAGTTTCTTTTACACATCCCAGCTTTTTAAAGAGTGACGTTGAAGAATATAATGTATTCTTGAGTAAACATAATTATATTCTACTGGAAATTTCATATACGCAATTTAATATGCATTATGTTGAAATCATATGTAATTAAGAAAATCAAGATCTTACTCTAAAACCAAATATGTGCGTCTAAAATGAGATTATAAATTGGCAAAATGAAATTTCTTCACTCATAACAATTTAATAACTCTATGACAACGTAACTAATCTTGTCGTCTAACTTTTCGATTTGCACAGTGAAAAGAAACTTAAGCTAAGAAAAGTAAATGTTCCCAACTTTTATAACTTATTCTACCGTTTCTTGTTGTTGTTGTGCGTGTTCGCTCATTTCATACACGAGTATCAGGGATGATGTTCGTGTCAGTTAGTACATGATCTACTAAGTACTAACAAAGCAAACACATGAAGTGGGCTCACATATTTTGAGCCAAATAAGAAACGTAAATGACAAGAAAATAACAGCAAACAAATAAAACTCTTGAAAATTTACTAACGTTTTTGGTACACTTTCCCTTCCATTCATTAACCGTAACCGTTCAAGATCTATATTGAAATACTTTTGAAAACCTACCAAATAAATAGGGAGTCCCATTGAATATTGGTTTTGTTATAAAATGACAAATAAATTAGTGATAGTAAACACTAAACCTAAGTGATTAGCCAGTAGCCACCAAACTAAACATGGAATAATGATATTTTCTTTGTAAACACAAGTGAGTAGCCACCAAACTGTGGAATAACACTACTAGTTGAACCCTCACAACCACTTTAGATCACAACTTTGTGTTGCTATCTATTTGGTGGCGATTATGAACATTAGTTTTGATTCCAGATCATAAGTAAAGAATAAAGTATACGTGAAAAATAATCTTATAATGTGGTGGTAGTTCAAAACCCACAAGGCCAAATTTGATTCTACAGTGAAAATGATATAGAAACTAAAGTTGATTTCTTCCTTTATAGATTTGACTTTCTTTTTCTTCTAATAGTAGGCCAAAGAGATAGATGAAGTGGGCACTCTCTAGCTCATAAAATTGTACAGTAATACCTAAATCAAGAACTGATATGATTCAGTTAACCTAAAACAAGTGAAGAACTTTATAGAGAAACACTATTCTCTTCTTCTATTCACTAATCAAAATGCAATGCTCTTTGATTTAGGCCAACACGACGTGAGGCTAGTAGTGAAAGACTTGGCGTTAGAACATGTAAAAGTATCCTCTTTTGCAATTTAAATATAACCATAATAACAAAATCAAATAGAGTTTGATCAACCCAAAAAGAATAATATTTTTTTTTAATAAGAAAAAAATAAATTGACAACTCGTATCACGCAAAGCTGTTACCTTTCGTTTTCACCATTCATTGAACACAACAGAGGTTTCATCATCTTCGTGTGGTGCTGGAAGATTAAGATCTATCATCCTCTGTTTCACTGATACTTCTTCTTCTTCTTCTTTGAGAACACTTTGATTTACAGACAATTCTCTTTTAGATCCGATGATGTTGCTTCCGTGAGACCTCTTATGACCACCAAGTGCTTGTCCCGAACTAAAAACCCTAAAACAGATCGGACATTGGTGAAATTTCTCGTACTCTGTTTTCTCATGCTCTGTTTTCGTCGACGTCATTGTAGTAGTGAAAGTCTTGTTCTTTTTGTGGCTTGCTCTGTGCCCTCCTAATGCTTGATACGATTTGAACACTTTACCACAAGTCTCGCACTCGAATCTTCCTCCTCCTCTGTTCTTGCTCGTTTTGTAATTTGTCTCCTCATCTTCTTCTTCTACGGTTTGCTTCTTCTTCTTCATCTTATGTTGCTTCCACTTGTCTCGAGAGAGCATAATGAGACAAAAGGCGAGATCTTCCTCTGTGGTCGTGTCTGAAGCTGAGCTGTTATGTTCAAGCTCTGTCACCACGAGTTGACTCGTTCTCACCTTCTTGAAGTCGAAATCGAACGATCCGAGCTTCCTAGTTCGCTTGGAACGTTTCCGAGTTGGGTTCATCGGTCTTGAGGACTCGGTTTCGCTTTCAAACTCACCGTAATTTTCTTCTTCTTCATCAGAGGATGGGGAAGCATCGGACTCTGTTTCTTCACTGAGTTGACTCGGGCGTTCAGTTAATTCATAAAGCTCACGTTTTGAAGGAAGAGTAAGCATGTGAGATCTCATGTGACCACCTAAAGCTCTTCCGTTGATGAAGCTCTTGGAGCAAAACCTACACTTGTATCTCTCCATCCTTCAATACAAGAATCTCTTTTTTTCTTTTTGGTTTTATCTCTCACAAAAGAAGAGAGGAGAAGAAGTAGAGAAGCTACAAAAGGAGAGTAGGTAACAAAAGCATTCTTCTTATGCAGACAAGTAACTAAGAAGAAGACGAAGGGAAGAAATAAAAAGAGCAATTAAACTTTTAATTTAATTTGCTTAACTAATAAACGTAAAAGAGAGTAAATTTGTTATTTAGAATAATCTAATTAAAGCCGTTTACCATGAAAGAAACAATGTAACATGCGAGCTTTGCTCGTTTCTGCAGGAAGAAAAAATTCATAATACTATAATACCCTTTTCATTAATCTGATTTAAAATAGCAAAACTTCTATTTTAACACCCCTGAATTATCAAAAGCTCTATTTTTGACGCAAATTTATTTTCAATGAACCAAAAATAATTAATTAACTTACCCTCTATAAGGGTACTTTGGGTAAATAGGGTGATGTCTTTTTTTTTGCTTCTTGTTGTAACTGAGTCAGGACCAGAACAAAGCGTTGTCCAAAAACGAGGGGAAGAATGTTTACCACTTTTATGGCTGTCAGTTCTTCAGTTTATGACAGCCACGTACCGTTTCAAACGACGGTTACAAAATTTATCATCACCAACCAGTAACTTTATCTCTAATGTAACAAAAAATGGAAGTAAATAAATTACTATAATTTTCAGTTTAGCCAATGTCAAGTGACCTATCTCTTACCAAGTTACTAGGATAAGACCTGCGCCTTGCGCAGGGTGAATATATGTAATTAAAATATAAAATTTTAATATTCATAAATTTAAAATTTACATATGATTGTTTTTGTATGTATTTGAAATTTTAGAATTTTGGAATTTTTATATAATTATCTATACGTATGATCAAAAACATTTTTAATTAGAAATGTAAATCAAATCTTAGAATTTAATGGATCTGATTTCATATATCTTTTTACTTTTCAGTGTTCGAGTGATGGAAAATAAATGGAGTGTCA